GCACTATAGTTTCATTCTGGGCAGCACTTGGTCCAACTTCCATACATGGATTGGCACTGTCCTTTCTTTCTGACTTTATGGTTTAGGACAGCATGACCGCTGCGGCTTTTCTAATTTCCATCAAGAAATTATTCTCGAAACTGTCATCCATTATAATTACTTCTTCAAACTACTTGTTGTGACAAACAACTCAAGGAAGCTCATAAATAAAACATAGCAATTTGAAACAACTCATCAAATTTCAAAGTGCTGCAAATTTCCTGAAACTAACCGTTCTAATAATTGTTGAAAAAAAAGTTGACTTACCTACTTAGGTAGTTAAACAAAATTTGAGTAAGTAGGAACCCAAAATTGAAAACTTATACTTTTTGTCAAAATAATAAAATTATCATTTTCGATCTAAAGAATGGAAAAAATAAGAAAAAACTTTTTATATAAAGCTTGTTTATTTAACGTCATGTTTTGCAAAATAGACAAATATACATCATTTAAATCGTCATTTCACTTAAAAATTCCGCATCAACATTTAACAATAGTATAGTACATAGTTACACAATACAGCGTTAACTAACTTAAATGATTTTCAATGTACACAGCTTAATTACATTCGTTTAATCAATTCAGCGATTTCATGAAAGAATTTCACTTCAAAAACGTAGCAAAGTTTTTGAGTTTCAGATGTATAAAACTGTATAATCGTCCGAATATCGTATACATTCAATTACGTATAAGTGTTATAAATAGTTTTTTGATAATTAGACGACATTATTTTATGCAACTTTGAAAGCATAGGCTTAATTCAATATTAAGGATTGAGACATCTAAACATTTTTTTCCGGACAAAATGACAACAAAGTCATAATTAAGCAACTTATTTAAAATTTTAATTGAGAAGCGACTATTCGCTAGGAAGTTTTAATATCCATAATCAAGATTTAAAAAAGTTTGCTTTCCGACACAATGATAGCTACAAGTGCTTCGGTACAGGATAAGATACCTCAAATGAAATCTTTAGCCTACTTATGACAAAACATTACATTCCATAAAGGTTCGACCAAAACAACGCGATCAGCTGGCGTGAAGCGATGGCGATCAATGCATAAGTCTGGTCGCCATCGTTCCGGCTGATCGCGTGTGATCGCGTTGGTTTGGCCGAACCTTTAGACAAGAAGTCGCTGAATCGATTATAATCTATACAATTCATTACTACAATAATTTCCATCGGCTAAAAGAACATCAATAGAATTCTACATTATAGAAATAAGGTGGAACAAAAGGTGTAATTCTAATTATTGTCGTGGAATTTTAACTTTTCAACTTCAATTAATACACTCGTGTTAATTTCAAAAGTAATTTTGTTAATAATGGATTGACATTTTTTGTGTGAATATTCTGGAATGCTTCGAAAACATGTTACGACAATTATTATAATTTCATATATTGTATATTTTACTTGTAGACAAATAAAATGTAAGTATAGGTAGAGTTTACATTTCTTATCTTTGTTTTTGAACAAAAATGTTTAGGAAAAAATACAACGCTACTCCGAAGCAAAACTATTACAAAATTAATCAAAAATTTATATCAAGAATCCTTCTACAACATAGGTAAACCCTTTATTATAAAAAGTGTAATTTAAGGGCTATAGTACAATTATTTGCTACTTTTAAAATTAGTAATATAGCGACTATATTATTTTGAACACGCACGCTGCGTTCGATTGTGGTATCAAATATCGCGCAACTCATGTTATACATAGGTATATCGGGTATATCGAATTACGATGTTATCATTCGTTATTAACTTTTGATTCGATAACATCGGATACATTTACTGCTTTGTGGAACAAAGCTATACTTATTCAAATTCAAATTAACGTTAACATTAGTGTCCATACGCACATAAAAATTGATTTTGATATGTGGTTTAAGATCTTTATTATTTCTCACAAGAATTATAATTCACTTACGTGAGATAATTAAATACAATATTTTGTAACAATAGCTTTGGATATACGTACAAACTAAAAGATAAACAAACAATTTCATAAACTAACTATAAGTGGGTACTTCACAATTTGCGCGCGATCCGTAAATATCGCCAGCCAGCGCGCGAGATATTATAGCGGGATCGATCTAAAACCTACTTAGTTGCTGATTACCGTTCTAAAAGTAGCAAGTCTGCTATAGCCCTAAGCGAAACAATTATACTGCAATCGAGCGTAATCTTCTCGAACACATTACGTTTTTTTCCCTTACATTACGCGCAATCGCGTTTTAATAACTTTATTACGTATTCCGGTTCCAATATCCATATACGAACAGTCTTATTCGGAATAATTTTGCCTCCAATAAATTGCACACTTTTTTGCGAACACAAAATTCAGGCTTCAGTATGAATACTCCACTTTTAGAGGCTTAAATAAAGTGAACGGTGGTGAATACAACTGAATAGAGATAATTATTATAAGACTAAAGCTTAACTAAAATGTACGCATTCAAAACGGAAACTCAGATAGCTGAGTGAATGTGCTCACATTTATGCGGCGAATATTGCTCGTGACTGAAAGACACTATAGTAGTATAGCGTATGCGCTTACTTATGCGTCATTTAAAAATAATAAAAATAAATTACTTAGGTCAAAATATCAACGTGAAGGATATTTGGTCACTATTATTATACAATAAACTATCCAGTTAAATGCGACGTCTTTGTAAAATAAACATAGTTTAAAACATTAACTTAAATAAATATTTAAATAGTAACTTACATCTTCATAACATCAATTACATTAATTATGACTAGCTTCCCATGAAAAGAAACAAAATGCACCAATCATTCTTTATAATCTAATTAGTTTTATGGCACTGTACATTAACTATGAAACTAACCATATTATAGTCTGACCATGTCGTCTTATTAAGCAAAAAAATAAAAAATGCGTCGTTAGTTCCCCCATATTAATGATTTTGAACAGTTCACGGAATTGCCGATAAAATTCTCAAATATTTAATTAACTTTGGTTGCGGCTCAGAACATAACAATAAAAACTTTGGTCATAAAGCGATTCGAACGAGTGCACGGTTTGGTCAGACCATAATATTTGAAGCAATGAATAGGAATAATGGCGCGTCTATACGATGCGTTTTATGACAGTTTATTTTGTACTGAGGGGGGTAACGAGCATAGAGTAATTAATTATAGAAAGACGACTTTAAACAGCTTATGAATAGGTCTAAAGCTTGATTTCCCGCATTTGTTTTTATGACGGAGATATCATGCATCATTTTTGGATAGACTGCTATCAGAGATAGGGTTATTTTTTTAATTTGTAGAACGATTGAAAATTGTTAATTATTTACACTTTTATCACTCACAAACCAAATCAAAAAGTCAATTCTACAATTATAATAAACACTTTGGATGATAGTCTAAAAGAGTGTTTAGTAAACATCCAGGGAAATTGTAATCTGTTTATTTACTTTTTCACGAGCTTTGAGTATACTGGTATAAATTTTCAACGCATCGTATAGCCGCAGTGTAAGTGACGACATTCTACTAGTGCCGTTCGTAATAATGCATATGTCTTGGTCATGCATATCATCAACGTTATAAAAATATCTTAATTTTCTTACACATATTTTTCCTATAACAACCGTAGCGATAACAAGCTGTATGCAAGGCTGGGACTACATTGGCGAAGATTTTATCAAGCCTCCTAAAACTTTAGTCTTTATTTAAATCCAATTTTGATTTTAACCTTTAAAACTAACACTCAAAATAATTTTAAAACTAATTAGTAATTGCTAAACCAAACATTTTTTTTTAATCACATGCATCAAAAATAGTAAACTCATCGTCATTGTAGCCCCAGCCTAATAATAAATTGGTAACTTCAACTAATAAAAATACTTAATAAATTCTCAACAAAACACGTTTGAGCTTACTACTTGTCGTATAATGATAGTTACTGTTGCAAAATAAATTACATATTGGAAATTCATGCAAATTAGCATACATTTTTAAGGCGCTATCACAGGAATAAAATCATGAAAGAATTTTATACACCTTCCATTTTATTACGATGTTTTAATGTAGCTGTCTGATATCAAACGCAGTTTACGACTTCATTAAGGTTTAAACACACTTTTTAATATTTACAATGTCTTAAAAAAGCCACTGAATTCTTTATAAAAATTGGGAAGCATAATTGGGTATTGGACACGATCAACAAATTGAAATGCTTATTATGAACTGTAAGAACGGGTAAATGTATAGGAATAAGAATTTTTAGGGCTGGGTTGCACCATCTTACTTTAACTTTGACAAGCGTCAAAAGTCTATCAAACTCCATACAAAAACACCGGTTATCGTTAGTCATGGTCAAAGTTAGGTGGTGCAACTCAGCCTCAAAGTCACTTAATTGCATTTTCAAGGCTAAATTGAAGTGTCTACATGTGCGTTTAAATTAATCGTTTAGGTCTATGAACCATTCAGTTTAATCTAGTACTGTATAAAAATTGATTCTTGATATTAATCTGAATAACTGTGAGTGAAGTCGTCCTGGAAAATCAGACAAACTTTAAACGCAGCTCATAAAGACTATTGCGATGAAAAGTTCATGCATAACGGTCTGAAACTATCGTAATATTGAAATGATGCGTCGTTTGCCAGATCATAACGTACTACGACAATGGCTTTTGAACAAATATTTAAATAGAATTTTGTTATTGATGTCTCGTTTCATGACAGCCATTACATCAAAGTTATCGATTATTAAGCCAACTCTACAATTCAATCGTTCCTTTGTTTCACACGATATGAACTGCACCTACTAGTGACTGGAAAACCATTTAGGTAATGATTAAAACCATGATTAAATAAAAATGCATTTTTCTTTAATTGAGAAGTTAAAATGTAACTTGAAGTTCTCTTCAAAAATAACTCAAGGCTTGCTTAGTTTGTTTTTGGTATCTGGCTAGTTAGAACAATCCGAACAATCCACAATAATGTCATTAAATCCGTTTTCGCAATTGCATTTGATATCAGACCACTCGACCTTCTAGCGAATAATACTGCACTTATCAGTCTCAATCTTCACTTGTTTTATAACCACTTCACACAAGTACACACACGTTTGTAGCGAGTCTCATTTCTTGTTCATTTAACTGTACTAATCACGCACTATTTTGCCCGAAATGTCACGAAATACGAATTACACTGATCACAAAATAGTCCGCGGGCAAACTTAACGTATTCTCTCGACGTCTGAAAGCGAGACCTACTTACAATATTGTTCTTTTCTCTAAACACGCACTTTTTTGCCCGAAATGTCGTGAAACGCACTGATCACAAAGTAGTCCGTGGACAAACTAAACGTAGTCCCTCCTGCCTGGGCTTATGATACTGTTTCTGTCACTCACCACGGACACTTCAGAACCGTTGGTTTTCCTTCGACAGCTCCTGAAGAACATTGATGCCTGCAAGATAAAATTAATTTCAATAATGATGCATAAATCATATTATACCTATTTATTTAAAATTATTAATAAAATAAAGTCCAAATTATAAATTATGATATGAAAACCATATAATTAATATAATGTTATGTAAATTACTATTCTTGCTATGCATTATTTATATAGAAGATAAAACTAATCTTGATTAATATAGGTTTAAAAATAACTTGATCGCAGACGAGGATAATATTGGCATTTAGCCATAATTACAATATTTTTTCTTTATAATATCGTATCTAAGTTTATGTTGTAAGTACGGAGCACACGAATATATCTTAGATGCATAGAGAAGCTAATTAATTGATGCGTCAGAAACCTAATGAAAATATATGATACGATAGTATTATTCAATCCGTCATTACTTAAAAAGAAGTAATTAAACCAACAAACCTTCACATGCGATCTGATTGGCTGCTGTAGCACAAAGATCGCAAAGATGACGACTCCTTGCAAGGCGTTGATGAGGTCGAACACCGACCACACAGAGACGGCTGTGGTGCCCTGCCCGGCCGCCCAGGAGACCACCTCGAGCACCCATGACAGGCCCATGATGACCGACAACATGCAACATGTTCGGAAACTGCGGGCAAAATCACCTTCTTAATACCACAACCACATCTATGTACAAGTTTTGTGGGTGATTCGGAAACTGCGGTCAAAGTGACTTCATAATACGTCTCTGTAAGGGTGAATTGAGTGGTCTTACCACTCCCAGTCTTCCAGTAGATGTTGTATAAAAGGCTACTCCTGCTCGTCTGACCAGCGTTCTTCCCACAATAATACATACAGTTGCCTCTGGTAAATTCTCTAATTTACTAAACTACTACTGCTAGAGTCGTAACTCGTAAAGAACTATAAATACGACTCTTACGACTGAACTCTAGCTAGATCAATATGTCTATATTTTATATAATATAGTAATATCGATAACGTAATTTTATAATAAATCAAAAACATGAATGCTTAACATTAATATTAATTTTTCATCTACCATTTTTGTTTATTACTATCTATTTACCTGGACTAATAACTATTTATTATTTGTAGGCTTTCATTTATTTAATAACACTTGTTTACTTCCAGTCCACGGCTAAGGGTTTCACCAGACACTTGCTAAACCACTCTTACTCTTAAAAGTGACATTTCCTTTACACGAGAATAAAGTAAGTAAAGAATCTACATAGTTATAAGTAACTAGCGGCCGCCCGCGACTTCGTACGCGTGAATCCCGTTTTTCCCGCTAATTCCCGTTCCCGTGGGAATTTCGGAAATTCCTTTCTTAGTGCACCTCTACGGTACCTAAGCTACGTCCCTTCCAAATTTCAAGTGCCTACGTTTAGCTGTTTAGGCTGTGCGTTGATCTGTCAGTCAGTCAGTCAGTTTCTCCTTTTATATATTTAGATTATGTACCAAGAAAGTAGCATGCCGATGGAAATTATTGTGTACTTCGATAGTTTAAATTGACTCGGACTATTTAGTTCCAGTTTCCGCTTAGGGACACAACCATCTCTTAGTACCTAAGTGTAGCATGACTAATTCACTGAACCGTTTTGTGAAGAATGTTCGTATATTGATATCGAACCTGGTAGAAACTGTACGTTTTATCTCACAAAACTAACTCTGAAATTGGTGAACAGCTTGCATTCATATCTCGAGCAAATGAACTAAAAACATGACAAGAAATCAAGAAACTACTACTTGAAGCGACAGCTAAATACTTTCTGTGATAGAATGAAATCCAAGTATAAATAAAGGCTACTAAGTAAATAAAAATGCCAGTGACTATGTTAAAATCGTCAACAACACCAGGCTACAAATTTGACATGACAAGGGATGACAACTCCATAGAACGACCGTTCGTCCAAGGAAAAGTCGATGGAGCCCGATCGCGTGGCAGGTCACCTATGCGCTGAACCAACCAAGTGAAATCGGCAGTGGGAGACGGCGTATGTGACTGCACCAGACAGTCTGCTAACAGAGAGAGATGGCGGGAGATCGTGCGGAGAGTTGTAAGTATCCGCCTCTACAACCGATGTGAACAACGCCTCAACGTGACCACGACGGCTCTGCCACGAGCGAAACGTATAAGAAAAAGAATAGAGCTACATAAGTTGTATTTTACTTACATTTTCTTATACTTCTTTAGCCGCTGGTTGAAGTTGTCCTGTGAGTCTCTTGGTGGCGACGACGGCCGCTCGTGCGCCGGTATCGTCTGCCCCAGCACCGTGCCCAGGCGCACCCAGTCGTCTGACGTGCTGAAGTCTGAGTGCGCCATGTCTAATGCTGTAGGACATAAGGCTCTTTTTACTGTGACAAAGAATCATATAGGGGCACCTGCATCTTATCTGCGGGTTGGTACCCGTTTGAATGCGCCATGTCTAGTGCTGCAATACATAAGGTTCCTTTTACGATGTCAAAAAAATCATCTAGGGGCACCCTTCATATATCATCTACTACGGTATCGTCTGCCCCAGCACCGTGCCCAGGCGCACCCAGTCGTCTGATGTGCTGAAGTCTGAGTGCGCCATGTCTAATGCTAATAATAATAATAATAATAATAATGTAGGACATACGAGGGGCGGCTGAAAAGTTTTGAGCCTAGGGTATTAAAAATGCCGATAGAAAAGTATAAAAAATATATTTTTCTATTTAGTCTCCTTCTACTACAACGGACTTCTTACATTTGTGTAAAAGAGCTTTTAACCCACTGAAAAAAAAATCGCAATCTTTGCCTTCAAAATGAGCCTTTAACGCCGCTTTCATTTCTTTGTCACTCAAAAATCTTCGTTCCTGGAGGTATTTTTTCCAATTTGAGAAATAGACAAAATAGCTAGGGATTCGGGCTAAACTGTGTGGTGGGTGATTAATTTCTTGAAATCCAGTTTTACCCGGGGCAAGCCCTGCAACATGCGCGGTGTGCGCGGGCGAATTGTCTTGCAATAACAGATTTCCTTTCGCCAGTTTGCCTCTTAATGTTTCAACAACCACTTGACGCACTCTTATCAGCAGTACAGCAAATAATCCCCGTTTATTGTTGTTTTTTAAATAGGTAGTCAATGAATAAAATTCCTCCACAATCCCAAAAAAAGTGGCTATGAGCTTGGGTGTCGATCGCTCCACTTTAAATTTCCGCGGCGGCGTGTTCCCTTTTGAATCCATTGCATTGACTCTTATTTTGACTTTAAATCGTACTGCCGGATCTATTTATTTATCAATAGTGACAATGTGAGAAAAAAAATTGTTAGGGTTATGGCCAAAGATGTCCTAAAACTCCTGTGAAGTTGTGACTCGACGCTGGTTGTCGAGCGGCGTGAGCATTTTTGGCACCCATCGCGTGCTCCCCTATTTCATGTACAAATGAGTATGAAAAATATCGCTGATACGTTCCTTGCTAATGCCTATGGCTTCAGCTATCTGTCACAGCTTAATTCGCTGATCTCTAAAGCAAGATTCTTTGAATTTTCATTATTTTATTCGTTAATGGCGAAATCTGGCCGCCCTGACTTGCGGTCATCTTTTAGCGACTCTCTGTCATGCTTGAACTATCGGATCCAATCTTTCAAGGTGGCAAATGAAGGCCCAGACTCCCCATAAACTGTAGACATCTCTTCAAATGTTACCGTCAGCGTTTTGTTCCTCTTTTTGTGGAATTTTATGACAACTGTGTACTTCAATTTCGTACATTGCGCGGATGACTGAGACATGATGATGTTTACGGATTAATTACTAAAAGCGTGATGACGCTAATGAAATGAAACTTTGTACATATACTAAGGAGGTTATTGGCAAATTAATGAAATTTAGTGCGAGTCAATAATAACACTTGAAGATACTTAGGCTCAAAACTTTTCAGCCGCCCCTCGTAAGGCTCTTTTTACTATGTCAAAGAATTAATAGGGGCACCCTTATCTTCTCTGCGCCATGTCACAAAATATAACAGAAGGTAAACTCATGTATGTACCTCGCTTTGCATACCTCGCTCGCTCGCACGCTTGGCCTTCGTTATGATAGAAAAATGTAACTTATGTACTTAGTACGATAATATAGTAATAGTTTGCAAACAAATACACGAGAAGGAAGTAGTATGTAGTTGAGTGGTTGACACTATTATCCAATAATTCCTAAAACCTCTTTAAAACAATTCGATATTCCTAATAATTGAGTTGGCTTTCAATAAAATTTGTCAACGATACACGAACTATTGAAATACAAATAAATACTTTACTTACCTCCCGGAATCAACTGGTAGTTTAAAAAACGAAAATTTAGTTTTTAATGTTGAGTGTAAGCAACCGTCTACTTAACAAATGATATAATACCCCTTTTTTGATGTTCACTAATTTTCGCACAAACAAAATAATTTTACAAAACGCGTGAGCAACGTGAATCAAGCGAACGCAGTCGCGCCTCGCATTCGTCCAAGACAGTCTTGATAACGCGTACGTGAGCGGTGTCTATGTGTGCGTGGCTCGAGCGCGCTTAGTATGGAGTTTACCTTCTGTTATATTTTGTGGCCATGTCTAGTGATGAAGACATAAGGTTCTTTTTAAAAGAATTACATAGGGGCTCATGTACCGTCACCATCTGTGGATACCTACTACATCTGAAAGCGCCAGGCCTAATAAGACATAGGTTTCTTTTTATTGTTATAAAAGAAGAAGATAAGCAAGATATAAAGGTTCTTTTTTATATGTCAAAATAAGGTTCTTTTTACCGTACCTAAAGAAGATTGATGCAAGAGAAAAGGTTATTTTTACTTTGTCACGTTTAGAAGACGCTAGAAGTTGCAGGTTCAATCATCAAGAATTAGGATGAATTTTTAATTAGATTAACTCATACACTGAGAATAAGAAACGTCGCTACATGCTTTAAACATTACTCAGGTATGTATAAAGATGTCTGGTGTTGATAATAAATGAGTAATGTACTCGAATAACTTTCATCCAATTTAAGCGTATTTTTCTAGTAATAAACTTTATCTTTTGTTATTATTTAGTATCTAATCGATTTATCATTACCTAACATTATGAAAGAAGAAATGATTAATGAAAATGAAAAGTAGAAATGAAGGTTATCGAGGAGACAATTAATAGGTAGGTAATGAAAACTTTCATCAAACTTTTTGATAGATTTTTGACGTTGTTAAAGTTAAAGTTAGGTGGTGGCCGTATGATAAACAAGAGCTAAGTACTGAAATGACTTACGTGTTATGTCTTTTAGTTTGTCGTAATGTACTGCAAAGGCTCTCGATGTGAAGAAGAATATAATTAGATTGCTGATGAGGATCACAGCAACTGGTCCATAGAAATAAGGCAACGCTGCCTGGTCCGCTGTGAACAAAAATGAATGCTATAAAATTTTAATAAAGTTGAATTTAGCCTGACTACAAGAACTGTAATCAGTACAACGAAATGCGGATTGCATATGGACTGTGACGCTTGGTAAATTAACTGGTAGAGTCATTACAAATGACACACAAAAATAGAAAAGCTGTCGGCATGAGCATTACAGCTTTTGTAAGCACGTTAAGCTGTCATTAATTCTTTTGTGGGAAAATTTTGTATTTTTTATTATACTCGTATTATTATTGTGTACAGTCGAATAGCATCAGACTATAGATACATTTTTGTTGCAAAATAACAACTATTACAACTTCATAAGATTCAACAGTTTTTACTTTGATGTGACTTCCTCCATATAAAGCCAATTAAATTCTTATTGTTGCGTGTATTCTATTAGAAGAAAAAGCATGAACAGAACAGACAAGAACATAAATAATGATAATTCCTAAACTAAAGGTCAGCCTAGATGTGCGATGTGTGTGTGTCCATTCCGTGAACTCTGCAAAAGACCCAGGAAGCTCGTATAATTAATAACTCTAATATCCGTTTTTACCATCAATCACTATTTTTTAAGTGACCCCTATGAAAAAAAATCCTGTTATGTGTTACCATAGAGTTCACTAAAAAATTAGGGATTGATGGTGAAAACGGGCATAACTCTTTCATTGGGAGCATACCAAAAGATTATTTGCAATAACCTACTCACTTTTGAACCAACAGCCTTTGACTCCAAAGTTGGGCTTAAGATAAGTGCTGGGCACAGCGGGCGACAGCTCCATCACCACGGTGACCACGAGCAAAACCACGGGCAGGAGTATAGCGTACGCGCAGTACCACGCGAAACGGCGACGCATGCTTCTTCTGCTCACTGAAGAGTTAATGTATCGCCTGTTGAGGTGACGTAAAATTAATAACCTATCAGTGTAGCATTAGGTAGGTATTTATTTATAGTTTATAGCCGGTATAGCCACAAACACAAGACTTTTCAAACTTAAAGTCGTATTTAGTAGATATAAACTTACCTAACATTCAAATACGTATCGAAGCACATCACATTCAACCAGAAGAAGCACGATACAAACGAGAATTGGATGAGGTAGGCTGAAACAAAACACAATCATTAATACCAGTTTTGAATTTGGAATAATAACAAAACTTTTTCTATTGCTGCATGTGCATGGCCAGTGTTTACGAAAACGATACATTACGAAACGTTACACTAGTAAATACAGCCGAATTTGAGAACCTCTTTTAAAAAAACAAAACACAATCGACACAGGGCGGCATTTCAACCGTTATTCTTTGGAATATTCTTGCAAACAATGTTACCCGAGCAGCAAGGAAGCTCGTCAGAGCTGAGATAAGTGGCACTGCGTTTGCGAGCTGAAGTTAAATGAAGCAAAGCGCAATTTTCCGTTAATACGAAAACATGCCTCTTACGTACGCTGAACGAAATTATAGACTTAGGCTCTACTAAAAGATTGCTAAGAAACGTTTTACTCTTTTAGAAAAATTTGGGAATCTTAAGTTTCAGTGCTTCAAATTGGGATTGTTGTATTGGTTGGCAGGTAATATCCTACTATTTTAACATCTGATATTTGTAAAAATCTTTAATTAGACAATAAAAAATCAAACTTTTAGAAAAATAAAATAAATGTAAGTAGTAAGTAGGATAAAATTCTTATACTTTTAAAAGGACATGGAAGTTTTTATAATACAATATAATACATTTTAAACATTTTGCTAAACTTCCACGTAGAACATCATACTAACGAGCGATTGTTAGTTAAAAGTTACTACTTATTTATGCAAACTCTGAGTACGAAAAAAGATCACACAAAGAAAAAACACCGGTTAGCTCATCCTATAATCCTAACACTTTATTATGATAGACAGCGAGCTATTGTTAATATTACTTGTTTAGTTATTCGCCCCATCATTCATTATGAACCGCTTAGAAGTTTTATTGCCTGTTTGTAGTTACTGCTCTAGAAGTAAAATATTACCGCAAAGCAGTTAAGAAAATTAAGGTTGGTTTTGTGAGGAGTGAAGTCACTGAATAATACTGCATTTCGAATTGCATTGTTTGCAGGTTTATTACAGGTAGATTCAAATTCTTTATGAGTATGTACCTACGCCTTTTCAAAGCATTTACACACGTTCCAAAAATCAGCTTGTCTTACTACTTACTACCAATTCGGGACAACATATCGGCTAGTACTGAGAATAAGTGTCGGAAGAAACTCAGTCACCTAGATTGATATACACTAACAATGTTTATTGTTTTAAATAGATAACCTACCGGCCCAAAACAATAACACTATTACTAGTCCATTTAAATGGTGGCAAAGATTTTTGATGTCTTATGAAAATCCTCTACTTACCCATAGTAGTACAAACACCATTTGGAAATGCGTGCCCTGCCAGTTGTGTCGTTGCCAGACACAAGAACGCGATTGCCAGACAGATGGTATGGCACGCCAGAGCCTTGCCGTGTGTGTCTCTGAGTACCGTGATGAAAGTGTACACACAGGCAGTGGCTATCAGGAACGGTACGGATATTATTAGGCCTGGAACAAAATCGCCAGTTATGTTACATGCAACCACTAAACACGGTTGTTACTTTAAAGTGTGCCCAAACATGCAGTTAACTAAGAAGGATAAAATTACATACAAGTACAATTAATGTGCATGTTTTCCAATATTTAAAGGCATATTTTTTTACATTTCCTCATAATTATCTCAAAAATGGGAGCCACCAGTTGTTCAAGAAAATCATTTCCAAATTCTTAAGTTTAACCTAAAGAACTCAGAATTCCAAATTATTAAAAAAAGAGTAAATAATCTAGTGATAATCATTAAGCCTGACTTACCAGTAGCATATGCTATTAATGTAGCAGAAGTCTTAGTCTCTTCCATAGGAGAAGTAAAGCACACCAATGGCAAAGTAACCCCGGCTGGGTTCGACTCGTTATAGAAGGTCTCCATACAAAAGTCTCGGGTTCCCAACAAAGGCGGGTTGTTGTATGGCACAAACAAAGAACCATTCACGAGGAGGTAGAACTCATCTGTACTGAATTTGTCCGGTTCTAATGGGTATCTGAAAAGGGAATTATAAATTAATGATGTTTAGTCTAAGAAAGATTAAGGAAAAGATTTCCAAAACGAAAAACATGTTGAAACGAACAACAAGAAGTAGATGAAATATAATTTGATGAAATAACTGCTATGGTAAATAAATTAGTTTGTTAAAGTGATATTAAAAGTGATACTCAAGCAATTAACGCAAGGAAAAGAAACAGTCTTTTAAAATTTTGTGCTCAATCTAAAAATAAATAGAGTGCTCAATTTGAAAATAAATGGAAACACAATAAAGAAGATTTTAATCGCCAGAAAAATCAAAGTAATGCTCTTGAAAAGACGAATGTTCTACATTTGAAGTATGCTGTAAAGGCAGTTACATGTTCACAAGGACCTGTCGTAGCTGCAAGGGTTCCCGACGAGGGTCTCGTAGAGGTTGCTGTCGTAGCTCCACATGTGGGTATCGTTGGCCTTGAAGAAGATGGGCTGGAAGGTCAGGCTGGAGCGGGAGCAGACGGACTTGACCTTCCCGTCTTCGTAGCTGACGCTGAGGTTCTGCCCGCTGGCACAGCATTTCGGCACCACTGGCAGACGTTTTACTTCTTCTTCCTAGGACAAAAGAGACATGATATTTATTATTGAGAATAGACAATAGGCATAGCTCTAAAGCTTCAACCACACCAACGCGTGCAGATCGCAATCGCCGGCGATGCAAAGGCTAATGACAGGTCGCGCGACTTAGGACAGTTCACGCAACCTGTCATTTTATCATAAAATCTTATCTACATATTTGGTATAATTATAGGGTAGACTAGGTAGATAATAACACTAATTGTTTATTTTTCGGCATATCTCATCCATAATTAATTATTAAATAACAACATGACACACGAATCTGAAATTGGCTGTAATTAAATAAAAATTCACGTGTGACTCAAAAAATGAAAATATATCGAATCAGCATTTCAATTACCACAAATTAAAAGACCGGTAACCTGGCGTTAATATTTCACGCTGAAAATTAAATGTGAAGTTTGGTTGGTAATAAAATTGGACCTTACACCTTGAATGTTAAGCCTTAGTTTGGCTTCCAGAGGTTCGTCGCCGTACTCTTGCAGATTGAACCGCGATGTGACGTATTATTTTAAATTAGGTCATGTCCCATAAAGCCGATGTACAAGGTAAGGACAAGTTAATTACGGTTGTCATTCAAACGATGATAAATCGTGAAGCGCACTCCTCTAATCAGAATTCAAGACAAACATTTGAACTTTGACGTGTTCATAAAAGAAATTCGGCTGAGGTTAGCTGACGCAATTCTCTTGAAATTGGTCACGTAATTGTTTTTGTCTTATTGTCCCCAGAGTGACAGTCATCGCCAGAAATAACGTTTTTGGTAAAAAAATCTACGAGCAAAAGTTCAAGTTTCATTCTAAAGATTACACAAAAATGTTGGTGAAAAATCTTACTAAATACGATATTCTTCTACAAATCGTTGCACTAGATAAATCATTCTGCACACGAGGTGTCATTAAATTTAATGATCAATAAAGTCATGACGTCTGTTTGACTGTCGAATTTGGCGATGGAGCAAAATTATACTTTAGTTCTCAAATTATTCATAGATTTTAGTTATTGGTCTAAGTTTTGCCTACAATATTTCTAGAAACCATTATATTAATAATACTTTTTTTTAATAACCTTACTTAGATCTTAACTAGATATTTCAAGTACTTGTCCNATATGTCTATCACGTTCTGACCCAGCTCAAATGATCTATCTACAAACGACCCCAACTGAAATGCAAATTTAAAATTCCCCGGACCATTAAGCATTTACTTCATCACGTTACCGTCATACGAATTCAAGGCTCACCTCATAAGTAACCCAGTCATGCCCCTCTGATACTGAAGTGCTGTTACATCAATTTGTTTATCTCCGCCCGCAGCGTGAGATACGAGCGTTCGCCGATAAAAGCCCAATATAAAGGCACGCGTGTAATGAGTACCCCGTGTAAAGGGCTCGTCAACCGCTTGTTAGGGAAGAATCACTGAGAGCTGACTTTCCCTAAATAATTCATGACAATGAAATTTTGGGATCACATTCTGAAAAGATGCTCGAAACTCAAGGCGGTCATTGGATGAATTTTGATAATAGGAACATATAAATATCTTCATTCATAACACGGGCCATATTTTTATAGGCTCAGGGGCTATGTTAGTCACGCATTTAAAATGCTTTAATAAAGCAGAAAATTCACTAACATAATGTGAAAAGTGAGGAAAGGCGGGCGGGCAGGCAAAGATAGACTTTGGCTGACATGTCTTCCATTCGTTAGACATCACGAAAATTAAATTCATTTTAACCAAAATGTTTTCACTTCTGCTATCATCCGAATTTAGGTGGCAAACAGAGAAAGATAAAAAAGGCGAAGAAAAAAGACGAAGACTTGGTGCCTAAACGGTGTCAATTTGTTTCGTTGCTCGTTCTAAGGAGCTTAGAGAAACCAGAATTACTTACAAAATGGAATCGCACTGTAATGAAAAAGGGACAATGTTTGGCACAAAGTAAGTGCAAGATTGCCATTCACGTGAATAAAGGATCGGGGTCTAAATGGTGTCAAGTTGTAACAAGGTGTCATATTATTATCATTGCTGCAGAATAGGGTTTTTATGTTTTATTAACTTTCTTGCAGTGTGTAGCTTGAAGTTTCAGTATTATGTTGTGTGTATGAATAACGTTATATGCCGTGCAACCAATAATAAAGCTTGAATAATATATCGCAAACGTATCGATACCCTTTGTTTATTAAAATGTTTTCCAAACTCAATCATTTTATGTATTCAAGTTTGACAATATTTTTTCGTGCCTCAAGAGCGATAGTCATGTTTTTGTCTCGTTGTAACACCTATCGTGTAACATTACCATAAACAAATGCTTCTTATGTCTTCGTGGAAATTAGTTCATATCCCCGAAGTTGTGTAACAATTACATCAATTTGTTCACCTCAGCCCGCAGGCACGTGAGTAACGGCGGCGTTTGACGACAAAAGCACATAAGGGCACACATAATGAGTGAGCACCACGTAAGGGCCTCGCTTGTTAAGGACGTGCGGCACAAATAACTGGGGTGATGATGTACAGTCCATCAAACTACATTGTTGTCCCAAAATAGAATCTATCACAACTTAATAAGACCTCACAGTGTTTAGGCTGATGTATTGAAGTCCGTACTAACGCGGAAAATGCTTGAGCTTAATTTGATATAATACTCTAAAACACTGAAAAAACTTATGAACTTCAACAGAACATTGGAAGTACGAATATTGATTGTTCGAAGGGTTATAAGAAAATATTGACTTATCGAAAATACCTTCGGGTTTTCACGGAAATGTTCTACAATAAGCATTAATCTGATTGATGATATATTTAAGACTAATTGTACCACCTCAATAAAAAGAGTTTTTACTTCACAAAGAAAAATGGTTTGGTTACTGCTTACGCAAACTCAACTACTAACTTTGGTTATGAGGAACAAAATGTTGTGTAAATTTAAACTATTTTTAGTATATAGAATAACACTCAGTTCACAAGTCACTTTTCTGTGTAAGCAGTAAACAAAAAAAAATTCAGTGTAATAATGTATCTTTAGTGTATTTCCGAATCATTCACAATTTTCCTAATAATGTTCCTAATGATGACACCGTTTTCCCTAACGTAATGTTTACATTGGATGCGTGCCCGTGTGCCTAACAACGACTAATGACTGACTAAATAACTAGCAATTACGGAACTAGTCATTGTATTTGATAGGTCCGGTTGCATTCAGTTACATCGTTGTGCAATGATAATAATTAACTTTTTTAAAAAATAAAACCGACTTCAAATGCGTGAACACAAAAAAAAACTAAAAATTGAAAATATTGCGTATAAAAAAGTTCATCCCCAATTTTCCACCCTTGGGGGTGAAATATTTTCTTCAAATTCTCATGAAACCACCCTTTTGATAATACCTATTCAACAAAAAAATAATCGTTCAAATTGATTTATAATCGGCGGAGATATTGCGTATAAAAAAGTTCATCCCCAATTTTCCACCCTTGGGGATTGTTTTTTCTATTATTAAATTTAAATGGGACCACCCTTGAGGTATTACCTATACGCAGATAAAATATTTGTTCAAATCGGTTCATAATTGGCGGAGTTATCGCGTAACAAACATAGAAAAAAAAAACATACGGGTCGAATTGAGAACCTCCTCCTTTTTTGAAGTCGGTTGAAAACATGAGTACACCTATTTGTGTAGTTTCGGACTTCTGCAGAACGATAAAATTACAGTAAAATACATAAGTAATGAACTCAAAAATATCCATTTCACAGGAACTACACTCATCGTATAATCGAGTTTAGCTGCTGATTTCAGTCACTTACCTATTTACTCGACTGCGCCACAAGGAGGGTTATTATTGAAAATGTTAAAATTGAATGTGAAAAAGTTTGTCAAAATTGTTCGCGTGTGAATTCGAACAATCACAAAAGAAAAACAAAAGAGAGTTGAGTCAAATAAAAGAAAAAATGTCTCAGTAGCCAGTCCAGGAACGGGACGACAAAGTTTTTTATTTTCTTTTGTTTTTAATTTATCCTCCATTCAATTTAAAAAATCGTGTCTAACCTCTTTTCAACAAATTAATTTCCTACACGGTAACATTTCATACTCAACCAAGCACACAATCGTAGTATCATGTCTTGTTTATAATTCGTTCATGGCTCTTGCCGTAATTTTGTGAGCAAACAGTGTATGTTACCCGTGTTTGTTTACGCTATTGTCAAGTAAAAGCATCGGTTTAGAAGCTAAATTTGTGCGTGAGTAAATATGGGTGGGTTGGTTTTCAATTCCCATTATATTATTGGTTGTTAGAAAGTTGTACCTACTCGTTACCATGTCTACTTATTTGTTTGATTTGCTCAAATAACTTATGTTTTCCGTGTTCCATTTCGTATGGCAAAAATAACATTAAAAAAACTCTTAGACCAGTCGACAGTTTTCATTACTTTGCTTCAACTTTTCTGTAGGTTCGTTAGTTAGTTCGTCTAGAATCTAAAAAAACATTGGCCATTCTCTCAAATGATGTCTTACCACAACATTTAGGAAAGTAATGAAACGATTGCGACCTGAAATTGAAATCTAAATTATACCTTTTGTATCCGTATTGTGACGTATATGTCCGTAAAATAATACTATTTTCGTTAGCAACCACAGATTTAAGTAACAATAACATCAATACATCATCGAATTTAACAGACCACTAATAATTTGATAACACTTCAATGTCAACCGCCAACAAGCTCGTTTAACCTCTAATTAAGACAAATCGTTTGCAAGTGCTGCAATCAGTCGGAGTGCAAGTGTTTCGACAGCAACAGAACAAAACGTTCTTTATTGGCTCAAGGCCAGTTTTAATGAACGGGAATTGTATTGCACTTGTTCGTGAACAAAGAACTTGGAACAGTGTTTCAAGATTTTTTTGCTTTTGCCTTCAATGTCTTTATGATTTTTTAAACTAAACTAGATTTAAGACTATTTTTGATCCAAAAAAATCCCCAGCGATGTGTAGAGTCTTCCTCTTTCTAAATAAAAATATGTTTTATAAAAAAGAGTCACAATTTCTCATTATATTTGAATCAACCCAAACTTTCTTTTGGGCTGTAAACTTAGGATACGATAAATTTGCGTATCTTATCTAGCTTTCGGGACAACATCTTGTTGGTGGTCGGAAAATCTGACATTTGTATTCGGGTTACATTTCAACTCGGAAAAGAAGAGAGGAGCAAGAATATTTTTATGTTTTCCCCCTAAGTATGGCAACACTCTAAATTGCAAAATAACCGAGTAAAACAAAGTAAATAAAGGCGGGAAAAAATGGGCATTCTCTTGCCTAAACATGAAAAGAAAAAAAAGAAAAGCGAAGCGGTGGCTGAAGAGAAGTTCCGCGGTATTTCGCAATGTTGAAACAATTTGTTTTATAAGGTTTGCGAGGATTCAGGCTAAAGTCCGTGACGTCACCAACTTTGCGACGTGGGCGGCCTCACAAATGCTATATTGTATGATAGCGCGAAACATGCCAACAAAAAAACCATTCAAAAAGTTTGTTCGTGCTGTATCAGATCTAAAGTAATGCGGATGCGGCATCTGAATTCTGAAGATACGAGTAAGTTTCAAACTTTGAACACATTACACACAACTTTTTGTTGTATATTTTCGGTGACTAATAAAAAGAAAACACAAGCTTCACTAATGCGTTTAATATTGACAAAAAAAAACCCAAAAAAGTCCACGCACCTGTACGAACGAAATTAGACTTGTGACCTCTGTATAAAAGTAAAAAACAATAATAAAAAATATTTATAATAATTTGAATTTAGAATGCACATCGTTCTCTGGAATCAACATAATACATAATTATACTGGCTGGATGGCAAAAGGCACGACATGAGCAGGCAAAACAAAAGTCACAACTCGGGAATAGAGCGAGCAAAATGCACATCACAGATCGCCGCAAAAACTGTTCGTTCCTGACCGTAACACGATGCAATAAGGTATATAATGCTGTATTTTTATGGTCGGTGCCTCTTACGTGGGCACGACAGAAACCCGACAAATATTTGCTCTCCCCTCGAAACTTCACCGCAGTTGCTCAATTCAAGTTATTAAAAAGATGTAGTCACATTATTGCTACCTGTGAACCACCTAAAAGGTTTTCCCTGTTGCTTACAATGTAAACATAGCTTTTCATATGATATTTCAAAGGCACTTTTTAAAAATATCTTGAAGCCAAGAAACCTCGGCAGAAAGTTAACAGGGAGTTTTGTAAAGACCGTTAAGTTATTTATATTCGAAGAAGCAAAGGAAAGGGTAAGTGAGCTTTGCCATTTTGGGTTAATTAAATTTGCTTTGCGAAATACAATTTTAGGTAGGTAGGTACTTAGGGAAATATTTAACTATTAACCTTAAAAAATCATGACAGTTAATGTTTAATTAATGTAGCGAAATATTCAGTCCATTACACTTAAAACAGTTCATGCTTTTCATACCATATTATGCACATTCAAAATGAACATTAAATATTATCAATATCCACTTTTCCGGTCTTTTCGTGAAAATATTGAATCAAAAACAATAATATTCTGATACGATAACTGTTGTTAAAACTCAAACAGAAATAAATAAAATGCTCTGCCGTTTTAACGTAATAAATTGGAAGTAAAAGCCTTTATTCAGTTGCCGTTGCCAGTACTGCTATTGCAATTTATATTATGAAAGATAATTTTATTAACCAACCAATATTGAATATGGTTTTGTTTTGGATTTTAAAGAAATAAATTCTTTTGCCTTCTCTGTGAACCGTTTATCAACATACGAGTAACATCTTTCTTTGTGCTGGATTAAGTTACATTTAGATACAAATATTATAGTAAAGCTCGTAGAAGGTAGCATACATTTGTTGGAAAAAAAAAATTTGAGTAGATTTAGGCATGTCTGATGTCTGTCCAGTTGGTATTCAGATAAAAAACTATAAAATAGTGATGAAAAGAATATAACATCATGTATAAATAATTTAAAAAACTATTAATTTATTTATTGAAAACTATTCATTCCCTTTTTTGCTGTCTCTACTTCAAATCTACCAAACAATTTCGGTTCACTTTACTTATTCCGCACTCTTACGAGATTTCCACCCGGGGTGCATTCGTTTTTGACGTCACAACCGCGGCATGAACAAGTGGCGTGACACCTTGAAATTGCGAAATTGCATCAAGTGGACAGAGGTTTGGGAAAACAGAGCAGTTTAAGCGAAACTTTTTGAAGAAATTCGCAAAAAAAACACAAATTTGACATAGTGGTTGAGATTGGGCCCAGCCATACGGGGGCCTGATTAGACAATATAAAACTGGTTAAAGTTGTTTATGAAGATGTCCACTACTTATAATGAATGGATTATACAACATTTAGTGATACCTACGAGTACCTATGTAGTTACAAAATGTTTTAAGCTCTCTCTAGCTCGAAGGACGCTGTGGACGATACATTTTGATTTTCAAATATAGATTCCAATAAGTCATTGTTACAAAAATATTTCATAACAAGTTTTATGAAAACAAGCATGATATTGTTCAACAAAATAATAACAGAACTATGCATAAATTTTAATCGGATTCTGAAAGTTGAACTCGGTGTAGTAAAAGTTCGAATCTTGTGTTTGTATTCGGGATCCTCATTGCTAGCGTATTTTAACAGTTAAGAGTGGGAGGGAACATGAGGTTTGTATCAGCTGTAGTACACACCACAGACAAACATTTAGTTAGTCACATTAAAATATTGAATTACCGTCTTCACAAGTTTGTAACTGGGTGGCCCTGCCCTATGTAAAGCTTCCAAAAATACTTTTAGTTTTTGTCTGATTACCAATGTTTTCTAAACAGGTAAGTACTTTACAGCCAAACAAATTTCTTTAAGTAAGTACAGCCAAACAAATTTCTTTTCTGCTCAACCCAAAGGTAAACTGGTCGAGAATGCTTTAGTGCATTAAGTTCGCCTTATGTTCAAATTTATTTTGGCATAAAAGTTTAAATAAATAAATAAATAAATAAGTACTTACGCTTTATGACTAGATGGACCATTAGGTACTATAAAAACATATAATAAAAATTGTACGAGTATAATTATTGCTCTATATGTTTTTTATTTACTCTCGTTACGTCCTAATCCCGCACCACACACGTTTTGTATCGGAACGCAAAGGATGAGCAGAGTCGAGTAATAGAACACAAATATTAGGATACGCTCGGATCCGTGTCGTGGACGCTCGATAGCCTTCGATGCACGGGTGCCACTCTGCTTTGAAAGCAAAGAGCGACTGAAAATACTACCTAGTGTGGTTGAAATATCCTTCTATGGTATTCTGGCTCCCCGTTCCGAGAAAGTTACCGTGTCAAATTTAGGGTGAGTTGCACCATCTTATTTTGACAGTAATTATGACGATAACCGGTGCTTTTTGTATGGAGTTTGGCAGATTTTTGACGTTTGTCAAAGTTAAAGTAAGATGGTGCAACCAAGCCCTAATTTCGCAATCACTTTACGAAGCCAAATAGATACTTATGAACGCCAAAGCTATGCTATTTTATTATCAACGTAGGTAACTAAAAGTTACTTTTCATTCAATTAGGTAGGTAGGTATCACTTATTTTTTATAATAATTTGGAGAGTAAAAATCTAGAAACTTTTTCTATCTCAAACGACTTGGTATGTTAAAATATTTGTTAACATAATTTAGTTACATAGAACGTTCACCTTAAAATTAGGTAAACAATTTAAACATTAGTTTATGAACCATTTATCTTTACACCTTTTTAAAAGCTAACGGATATATATATGGATATATATAAATGGATGCGCGCTGATAGCGTAGGATTACAGTCAACAAGCCATAGAACAAGGCTTAAGTAGTTTCAAAGCAAATCTGTCAAGGCTTAGTCGAAATCGACCACTTTATGTTTCATTCCATACAACGAAAATGGAAAATATTTTTTTCCAGTCAAACTATTGGTTTTAGAGAAAAACTTTCATAATATTTATTCATGAAAATAACATACCCTATCGACAGGTATTTTTTTTAAACAGAAATTGTGAAAAAAAAATCGCTGATTTAATTCCTTTTAAGTTTATTAAAATGTGTTTTTAGCAGTAATTTAAGGTTAATTTACATTATTAACGTATAAAATCTTTATATTTTTGTTAAATCTTAAAAGATATTCCAAAAAAAAGTCACTTTTACTCACTTTTTTTTAATTTTTCAGAACCTCATAACTTGTGAACGGGCAACTTTGGATGCGCGCTGATAGCGTAGGATTACAGTCAACAAGCCATAGAACAAGGCTTAAGTAGTTTCAAAGCAAGATCTGTCAAGGCTTAGTCGAAATCGACCACTTTATGTTTCATTCCATACAACGAAAATGGAAAATATTTTTTTCCAGTCAAACTATTGGTTTTAGAGAAAAACTTGTGAAGCATTTATTCATCAGAATAACGTAACCTATCGATAGGTATTTTTTTCAAATAGAAATTGTGAAAAAAATCGCTATGTCCATAAATCTCAATTTCGCTCCATAGTGCACCAGTACAATATACCGAACTTCCCCTATATGTTATAATAAAACTAAAAACGTAAAAACCAATTAGTCCCATTAGAACCATTAGAACCATTTTCGACTTCCACACGGACAAAGTCGAGGGAGAAATCATGTAATTAATAAGTTAGTAAATGAATTGTTCTCTAATGTATAGCATCACCAATAACTTAGACTAAAAATTTTAAGACTAAGACAGAATGAAAACTATCTAGTTTTAACTAATAAAAACTAAAGATCTACTTGATACCACATGCACTTAAGTAATACTTCATCAAGTGAATTTTAAGTGTAGGTTAAGTCTAATGTTTCTAAACTAATACTATGTAAAGTATATCTTGACTCAACTCTTTCTTTACTAAACTTACAAATTAAAAATCTTCTATACTCTTGCTACATTAAGACAAATTAGAATTACCGCCATTATGAGCTATGTGTAACAAAAAATAAAACAGAAATTAACCAATAATATCATAACAAGAGGACATTTAAATTGAAGTACGTCTTTCTTACACTATTTCTAGTTGCATAAATGTCTAAGAACGTTTACATAAAATAAAATATTATTTTATAACCTCAAAGTTTTATTTATACAATACAATTTCGTAATATTTTATTGATCTTATTAAGTTTTTTCCAAGGCCCTCCTGTTTTATAACATTATCCATTGATTTTACACGAGAAACCACATTGCGTTTTAGATTTTCTATGCAAAAATGACATTGAAGGTCTTTTGTAGACATAATATAAATTAGTTATTAAAATAATTTAATCGCCATTTTCATTAACCTTTATCTAAAGTTGATTTAGTGTTCACAATGTTTTCTAAACTAAAGTTCCTCTTTAATAAAAAGTGTCTTACATAGTTCTTCATGAAGTTAAACAAACCTTAGCTGTAAAAATAATTATTAGTCTTAAATAAGTATTCAAGATATCTTCAACTCTATTTCCTTGTCTACAGTCATACTACAAGATGTATTATAGTACTTGTTTAGAAATTCTTAAAACTACACTCTTAATTAGGGTTCAAGTCTGCCTTAAGCGTTGTCTTAACTCTGTCTCAGTGATTTCCAAAGGATTGTGCCCTTTTTTGCTTACCATTGTCTTGGGGGATAACTTCAAGACTTCTTGAGTGCGACTATTGTCTTGGCCAAGACAACGGCTGGAATTAGGCTATTAGTCTTCAAGATATCTTCAATGCCTTATGAAGATAATCGGATGCTACTTGGGAAATACAATGATGACTACCGAAATGGAGCATGAAGCGTACAGAAAATAGAAATCAGGGGTAATTTTCCCCCAAAAATCTCCCCCGCGAGTAGAAATAAATATTGTTAAGTGCAAAACCGTCTGTCTGTTAATAATTGTGTCACGAATAGCAGCGATATATCAGAGGTCCTACTGGGTGTGTCATAGTCGACTCTACCTATCTCTCTCACTAATACAGGAACAATTACATGAGTGAAAGGGATGAGAAATGTCGGTACAGGTATCAATGGGTGTACATAGTATACCCCCAGTGCCGAGCCAGATAATATCGTCTGATCTTAATAAAGGGAAATCTTGGGCAAAGCGCTCAGTACAGAGCTTTGCTTCCGGTGAAAGTGAATGTTGTTTGTTGAGCATTTAGGGTTTCAGCTTTGGTTAAAAGGTTTTTTTTTAGTTTGGTTTTGCCAGTTGCGGTGTTTTAGATCTGAGAAAGGTGTAAACCCAGCGCGTCAGGGGCTTACGTCGGTGTAATGAGCTTGAGCATTTTATGAACTAAACCTTAAAAAAATATTTCAAAGACATTTTTATACACCCATAAATCATCTATAGGTTAATTCATGAAATTGAAAGGATAAGGCCCTAGTAAAATATCTACTTATTACTTACTTATCATGTTCCGTAACTTAACTGCTATTTAACATTAACCTTTCATCACCTTTCAGTGATAACTCCCAGTAAATCTATTGGACACATAGTAAGATTTAACACTGTTATAAACATAACAGCTCTAATAAGGACATTTAGATGTTCCGAAGTGTCCATGTTCACAGTCTATTCGGAAAACGATAAAATTTTACGGTGCCTTTGTAGTTTGTACCAATAAGACGTTACTTAAGATACGTTATCGGCACGAACGATACAAACGGAGTGAATTCGACTAGCATCCAATAGGTATAGGGTTGTCATTTTCCATTCATTTCATAGTATGGTAAAATAAACTCTATATTTGCAACTGGACAAATGAAAAAACTTGAGATTGTTACATTTTTAAGTAGAAAGTGCACAAAGTTTTTCGAATATTTTACATTTTCATTTGGAAATTTTATAAGTTTTTGTGAGAGGGATAAGGAGGAGAATTATGCTCTGTTGCAAAAAACTTGAAAGTGTAACAAACATGAGATGAGATTTCGTATCGGAAACTAATCTCCTTCTACGATATCAACACTTTGGTAAATACAGGTAAAATTATTCCAAGCTTCATAACTGCCTGATCGACACACGATAATGACATCTAAGGCTGGATTGCACCATCTTATTTTAACTTTGACAAACGTTAAAAATCTGTTAAACTCTATACAAAAAGCACCGCTTATCGTCATAGTTACCGTTAAAGTTAGGTGGTGGCAACTCAGCCTTATAAAACTTCACAAGCGGAACCACTGACAGAAGCTAACAAAAGAAACAGCAATTTTCATCTAGATAGCCTCAAATCACCAAACAGATTCCAAATAATTGTCCAATCTTTTTAAAACAGTGTTAACCCTGAAACAATCCAGGACAGATGTATGCGCGTAGGCCTCAGGCAATCTCTTTAAGTGGCCTCCGCCGGGAACGGCCTTACAGGCCTTATTAGTTATTTATCCTGGCCTTATGGCCGCGGGAATGTGTCCTTCATGTAAATTGCATTGTTCAACTGCTGTGAGGCAGTTTTTGTTGCGTGATCATGTTCTAAAACTACGAGAAACACGGTCGTGCAAGGAATTTTTATGACTTTATATTGGGACAAAAAAGGGTTAATTTCATTTGATAACTATTTACTGCAAAAGGGGGATTTAAAAATTATAAGATTCAGTGGTTACAGTTCTACAGTGTGGCAGCCGCCACATACAAACCTAGGCATACGTGCGATATTCTGGAAAATAAATTAATAATGTTTATTACGATTTTGAAGTCCGCCTATCCTTGAGCACCCATTACCCGCACATACGAGTACAGCTTGCATAATGTGGTGTATTCGTGACCCTTTTAAGGCGCTCTTTCAATTGAAAAAACATAATTGTGTGACTTCAATAATCAATAAGTACTTTATTTATACCAGTTACCTGCTGTTGTTATTGTAATGAGACAATCTTTCAATGATCAATAAGTACGCTTTTTATACTAGTTACTGTTGGTGTTGTTATCGAAATGAAACCTCACGAATACCGATTACCAAAATCAGTTTCGTAGTAACAATTAAAGAGACGTATGGTAAACAATTTGAAACAATATACGGAAACCTTACACGACGAATTAATTAAATCAATCAACCTACATAATTAGATTGCGAACAACACATGTAAGGTAATAGGATAAATAACAATCAAAAGGCGTTTCAAAACAAGGTGATCAATAAGTTTAAGTACTTGTATCGGTAGATAACAGTTACTTAAGTATCTGCCTACAGTTTTATCGTCAAGGCATTGGCCATCATGTGGGCTGTACTTAACAATATTGAGGTCACAATCCTTTTTTTAGTTAAGGTTCGACCAAAACAACGCGTGCAGCCCGCGTGCGCGATGGCGATGGCGATACTACTGATTTCTACTGATCGTCAAGCGTTGGTTTGATCGAACCTTTATGCGGCTCAATAGAATCCTAGCTTCACAAAGACCGGTTTTTATTTATAGTTATTGACACTAGTTTACAATTCACCATTCAATCGTACGTCTATTAGATAGTATATTTTAGGGGGTGAGATCAGCTTCGTCAATCCCTTTATTATTTTACATAAAAGCACAACTTACCTTTTGGATCATGAAACCATTTTTTTTTGGACCAACACGTCGATTCGTCACTTAAATGTTCGTAACAAACTGACAACTTTTGATTTCCTTATAAGTGAGGCCCATCTAGGAATTAAAGCCAAGATCGAGAGATTTCAATCGTGTAGGTGTTAAACTATTATTACATTAAACTACTTATCTATAAAATAATTTTGTATTAAGATACTTTAATTTTACTGATAATCCGTTCAAGATTCGTTGCGGACATTATGAGTTTAGTCGTATTCCAAGCCCACGCGGAAGAAACGGGATGCAAAATTTTATAATCAATATTAATGTATTGGAATAAGATGACTGATTTAAATGCTGGCTACTGCAAGAATCCCGTGGGCGAAGATTCATGACTAGCATCGAGTAGACAGGCTCTTAAGCCGTCGCAATAAGATTTAAAATTTAAGATGCAATCTGTCTGGTTTTGACAGCTCATATCACCCTGTCAAACTACCGTTCGAAGCCGTCAACGCTTCGATACGACATGCTGAGATAAACATAAATAATGCATATAAACTTGGAGCTTACCGAACGAAAAATAAGATAAGCCGGGATTAAAAACTGGTGGAGTGTGGTGGCAACTAAGATTAAAGTTAAGAAAGTGATTGGTTTAATTCGAATAGTTGATCAGATTTTAGCGCAACGAGCGATGAGAAAACTCATTTATCTACTATGCGATCGTTACACGCCCACTCTAAAAAACATGATTTAACTTTGGAGATTAACACAACAACTTGTACAAAATAAATATCATAATCCATAAGATCTACTTATACATTTATTATGAAAGTCCCATGAACATGTTGTCGAACATTGATACGAATTTAAACATGGGTTCTTCACAATACGGGGAAATCATTGCAGTTCGGCGCCGCAACGTATCGTGTGCTTTGACTCTACGCCCGTATTCAAAAACGATGCTTGCTTAAGTGAAGCAGCAAATCGAACGCACAGTGTTGAATAAAGCTCTGTGATTGGTTCGTGTGTCACCCTGTGCGTTTTAGACTGTTAGAACGCGCACTGTTAGACCTCATATTAATGTTTGTGAATACGGGCGTTAAGTATTAGCTTTGCGTGGGTTCTTATCGCTGGCTGTCACCTGCAAGCTACCGTTCGGCGCCGGCGCATCAATATATCGCTCGCCGCGTCATGTGAGATTATCTCATTCATTAGGCAGTTTATGGAACCCTTAGTCTATATCTTTAATGTATGACCACTGTTCTGAATAAAATATGAGAGTTGTTTGCGTTTAAGAACTAGTTTTACTCTTAGGTCTGTGCTGTATGAAATAAAATAAATAAAACCAAAATAGATATCCAGGGACATGTAACTTTTTATTATGTAACTATGAATGTCAATACTTTAACGTTGCACTTCAGCAAATCTGCTAAAAAGTAGC